TACACAAGTTTGTGGCTGCCTTCTATTCCTCTCTGCATATCCCCTTGACAGGTCTCTCATTGAGTTCGAAACCAGCTCTTCTGTTGGTCAGGGACAGGGAGCTCCCATGCTCTCCCTTCTGTGGCCCCCAGCGGCACTTACAGTCACACATGGCTGTACGTGCCCTTTTACATAGGTGCTGAGATTCAAACTCAGGCCCAGCTACCTGTATAGCAAATACTGAGCCATCTCCTTAGGCCCCCAGGCCAAAATATTTGTAGCTGCTAACCATTTTGTTATAATATGAAATGTTATGTCCCTCCCCAATTTTCACCTACGCTGTAAGGAATGACCCAAATAGTGTCTACTTGTCGATATTCTGGCCAAAAAGGTAATCAACCCTACAATATGATGAAAGCTCAAAGTAAGTTTTGTAAATAATATAACTTTGGAAAAGATGAGGCTAAAGGAATTATGTTGAGAATGGGGGTAGGGAACATTGTTCCCATGAAGTTCTAGTCTCCAAGAGATGGTAAGAGTTAAAAATTGTGATCAAAGAGCCAGCCACTGAGTTCATGTCAGAGACAGCCCCTGTTCCCCTTACTAGAGAACCCACTTGGAGGCTGGGGAAGGGGCATAGGAGGAGAAAAGGGAGGGAGGGCAGGACTGGGAGGGGATGAGAGAGAGGGCTACAGCTGGAATACAAAGTGAATAAATCGTAATAAGTAAAAAAAATTTAAGTGAAACAGTTCAGATACTAAGAAAGGAAAACAGAAACAAGTTTAAAAAGAAAGTGTGATCTGTGATATTTCTATGTGTTTCAAAGACAAGGACATTCTAATCACTGGAAACCTGCATGGCTTCAACTAACATCTCAGACTTTGCCTTGGGCTTCCTAGGTGATTCAGTCCCTGCAACTCCAATGTCATAGCTGCTGACCTTGAGCACTGCACTTTACAAGGTTATCTTTCAGTATCTCACAGCAGAGCAAGATAAATAGAATGCAGGTTCTGGAGTGCACACCGAGCTGGATCAATGGCTGCCTGAGTAACTGCATCCAATAAGTGATTGATGTCAAGATAGAGATATATTTCTGATGGCAATTGACATGGCTCAGTCCCCTACCTTGCAATAATTTTTATCAGATGTCTATAGAAAGGTCTCAGCTCTCCAAAGATTTCATAGGACGAATAGGAAAAGCATATGTAATGAGCCCAAATCCAGAATAAGGAAATAAAACCATCTCAACAGATTTGAGTAAGTGAAGACATGAGGACCCGTTTTCTGGTTTAAAAACTACAAAATACATATACAAACTGAAGCAGATGTGGTTTAAGGACTTAAATTCATTAGATTTTTATTAGACATTATTTCTCTTAAGTTGTATGAGCCAAACTAAATTAATAAATTTTCCCTTTTCATTATTAGAGGTTGTGTGAACTAACAGCAGTGTTTAAATGATCCCCATTCAGAGTGATAAACTTTAGTGAATAAATTGCACAATATAGAGGGTGTTTAATCCAAATATATGTCGCAAATCATAAATTGTTTAGTATAATTAAACAAACTCATAGTATGATTTTATTTTATGATGGCTTCATCTGACTGCAACAATTGTAACTTTTCTTTTTTTATTTTTATTTTTGTATATTAATTATGGGTTATTTACTTTGTATCCCAGCCATAGCCCCCTCCTCATTCCCTCCCAATCCCACCCTCACTCTCTCATCTTCTCCCTGCCCTTTTCCAAGTCCACTGCTAGGGAGGTCCTCCTCCCCTTCCATCTGATCCTAGCTTATCAGGTATCTTCATGGCCGCCATTTCCTCCTCTGTGGCCTAGCAAGACTGTTCCTCCCTTGGGGGGCAGGGAGGGAGTAAAGGAGCCAGTCATTGAGTTCATGTCAGAAATATTTCCTGTTCCCCTTACTGTGGAAACCCACTTGGATACTGAGCTACCATGGGCTACATTCAAGCAGGGGTTCTAGGTTATATCCTTTCATGGTCCTTGGTTGGAGAAACAGTCTCATAGAGGGCCCCCCGTGCCCTCTGTTTTGTCCTTGTGGAGCTCCTGTCTCTCTAGGTCATACCAACTCCCCCTTCTTTCATATGAATCTCTGCACTCTGCCCACATTTTGGTTATGAGTTTCCGCATCTGCTTTGATACACTGCTAGGTAGTCTTTCAGAGGCCCTCTGAGGTAGGCTTCCATCCTGTTACTTTTTTTCACCTACTTTCCCTGTCCATCCCATTTGTCTTTCTAAGTGAGGATTGATCTTCTTACTCTGGGTCCTCTTTCTTGTTTATGTTCTTTAGGTGCACATATTTTAGTACGTTTATCCTATCTTATAGGTCTATATAAATGAGTATATAACAGGTGTGTCATTCTGCTCCTGGGATCACTCAAGGTGATCTTTTCTATATCCCACCATTTGCCTGAAAATTTCATTATTTCATTGTTTTTAATTGCTGAGTAGTATTCCATTGTGTAAAAGTACCACAATTTCTGTATTCATTCCTCCGTTGATGGACATCTGGGTTGTTTCCAGATTCTGGCTATTATGGATGAAATTGCTACAAACATGGTTGAGCAAATGTCCTTGTGTGCTTGAGCTTCTTTTGGATATATGTCTAAGAGTGGTATAGCTGGATCTTAAGGAAGCAGTATTCCCAATTGTCTGGGAAAGCACCAGATTGATTTCCAATGTGGTTCCATCTCTTGTATTTTGTTGGTGATGCTTACTTTGGTGGTTCCTGATCTTTTCTCTAAGTTTTCTAGCTCCAGGGTTTTCTCTGTTTGTGTTTTCTTTATTGACTCTAATTCTATTTTTATGTCTTGCACCATTTCTTTCATCTGTTTGAATGGTGTCTTCCTGTCTCTGTATGATGGCCTCTATTTTTTTGTTCATTTCTTCTCTCTATGCCATTAATTTTGCCTCTACTTGTACCTCTGTTTGTTGGCTATATTTGCCTGTTTCTTTGAGAACTTTGTTCAGTTCCTCTTTGCCTCCACCTGGGAGGTCAATTCTTGAGAGATTTGTTCGTTTCCTCTTTAACTGTCTGGATTTGCTTGGCTATTTCTCTGAGAGATTTGTTTGTTTCCTCTTTATGTGACTCAAATAACTGGATAAGCATATCTTTAAGGTCATTTTCCTGTGTTTCCAATGAATTGGATTATCCATTGATTTTGAGATTTGCTGGTGAAGCCAAGATTTCCTGATTTTTGTTGGCTGTGTTCCTGGCAGGCACCTAGACACCCCAGTTCTGCAACCGCAACTGGATTCCCAGGCAGTAAGATCTGGCACTGTGGTTCAGCTCCTCCGAGGGGGAGGGAGGCCCAAAGAAGGAAAGTGCCCCTATCCATTCACAGAGAAGTCCGGGTCTGACCTGAATCAAAAAGTTCTCTGCTCCTGTGGTGAACCCCCTCCTTCAGGGATCCACATGTCGACTTTCTAATTTCATTTGTCCCTCCACTCACCAATTTCGGAGTTTCAAATCCTCTGCCTTTCATACCTTTCATAAAAGGAGTGTGCTGATTGCTGCCATCTTGGATCCCCCCTAACTTTTCATAAAGTTTCTTTTGCAGGAACTTTCTTGACTTCTTTCAGAGCTTCAATTATTATATCCTGAAATCCTTTGAGGGAGAGTGTGTAGGAATGAAATATTCTACCTCTTCTTTGTTTCTGAAATGGTTTTCTGAAATTTAGACTCAGTAAACTCAAGGATCTTGTCAGTTTTCACTGCTGTGCTCATAGGGCCTATAACTGGGCCTGGCACATGGTAGCTGCTTAACAAATGATCCCTAGTGGTGATACTATCTCAAATGATTTTTCTAGGTTCCTCTGCCAGATTCTGGCTCCATACATTCTCTTAGCCCTTGTCATTATCCATGAGTGCTCTGATGTTAAGCAGAAGTGACAGTTAGTTAGTAGACCCGATGAAGTATATCTGTTGGGGGTCAGCTGTGCTAATAACCTCATTACAGAATACAAGACAGATGCACTTAGCAGTTAAATATTATAGAATCATAAAACTATTGGCAGTAACCATTGCTTATGTATCACAATTATCTGACAATTAATAAGCAGGCATGGTACATAGTTTGTGAGGTATCTGTGGAGTGCAGTATAGCCATGTTTTGACCATTAATAAGCAGGCATGGTACATAGTTTGTGAAGTATCTATAGAGTTCAGTACAGCCAGGTTTTGAACCACGAATAAACACACTTCCACTCAAATCCTAATTCTACTACTGTTGTGTGAACTTCAAAAGGTCACATTAATCACTATAAGCCTGGCTTGTTTCTCCAGCTGTGGACTGGACATAGGAATGGTAATTAACTCCAAAGGTCTGCATCAGGTTTAAAAGACATAAAGAGATACGTAAAGCATGTGTCACATTATAAATAATGAAAGCAAGCTGATATAAATAAGAACCACTCCAAAAATGACAGCACACATTATTATCACCGCTGTGCGAAAGCAGAATGGCATCACAGAGTGGTGACTGTGGAAGGGCAAAGGCACAGAGCAGCATTGGAACTCAAGTCCCCGGCTTTAAATCCCATTAGCATTCTGACTGTGCCACTTTAACATAATGGTAAAAGATTGCTAGACTAATGTGGAGCTAGCAGCCACACTATAGTCTGATTGGCCTTTCAGGAAGAAAAAGCAGGCAAATGAGTGAAATGATGAGAACACAGAATGGGGAAAAATAATAATACAAGCCCCGATCCCGGTGCATGTGTGCAGATACAGAATATCAAGTATTCGGTCTGCTTGTGCACACAGGAAAGAATTTCAGTCTGTGGTGTTTTTATAATTTTACTTTGAGTCAGAATTATTTCTTATCAGCTTGACTGTATTTTGACACCATTTACAGGGGACTTCCTCTCTTCTGTTCAGAAGCCCCTGGGCAAGCACACAGGTTTGAGCAGACTTTAAATGACAGCGGCTTATCGTACCATGTACTTCCACTGTGTTTGCTACCGTTATGTCTTAACCCCCTTCATTTTGTTTCCATAGAATGCCGAAGTTTCTGTTTTTGAAGTAAATATACGCTTCGTTGGTGGACTGCTGTCAGCCTACTACTTGTCTGGAGAGGAGGTAAGTTGCGAAGTAGTATAGACATGTGAATTGTGAAAAGTCCCCCAAATTACTCTTTCTGTTAAATATGCCATTTGTGGTGTGGGTTTAGGAAAAAAATCCACTAGTTTTTCACTTTCCGATACTCAGCTTTATTTCTCAAAATATGTGCCAATTAAGTGAACAAGCTAGGGAAACTCTGGACAGTTCATATTGTCAGATTAAGGTGTTACCTTTAAAGAAGCATGGCTCCGTTTTGCTATGTATGTGTAATCAGAAGTACAAATCACACATGCCTACAGGCATATGAAAGATGTTTAGCCTAATGGCAGGCTTTGGGGTGAATATTTGTCCTGAAATTTATTTTAATGTTACTATGTTAGCTTAGCAAAAACTTCAGTAAAGAAGGCATGACAGATAAGTTATGAAAATTACAATACTTGTGAAATTGAGGGGTCGCAACTCTGAGCTTGGCAGCACAGCGTCCTGCGGGCCAGCATCCCTGTGAGACATGCTTTGTTCTCTTCCTGAGTCAAGGCTTAATGGATTATCTGCTGCTTGAGGCAAAGCAGGGATTTTTAATTTACTTTTCTGTTGTTGTTGTTGTTGTTAGATTAAAGACTTTTCCTATCATGCTCACTGAAGGACACTGACGCTCTTTTCTTGAAAGCGTTCGGACAACTTTGTGAATTATGTTTAGTGTCCACTAAGAGTTTCAGGAGTGGACTCACCTGTAATCCTGACAGTCTTAAAAGCTGACATCAAGGAAACACAGTCACGTATTTCAGCTGCACGTCAGCCAGATTTACGGGTAGCCTCAGCATTCTGGCTGGGGGAGAGAAGATCTTAGCCTGTGTAGTATTTCATGTATTTCTGTGCTTCAAACAGATTTAAGCAGGGTAATAAATGTTTAATGAGAAAGGCTGCTTGACTTTGTTCCTGTCTCCAAGGTGCTTTTCTCATCAGAGCAAGGCAGCTCTCACACTCTCCTGTTCTCTCTCTCTCTCTCTGGATTTGATTCTATATATCTTTTTTTTTTTTTTAAGTATATAGATGGCCCTTGTATTCCCCTGTGTTATTTTTTCCAAAGTATCCTTCCAGCCTGGAAAACAAAGCCCTCTGCTGTTTGTCTTCCTCTTTTCCCCCCAGTTTTCCCTGCTCTGTTATTTGTACAGCCCAGCTCAGCCTCTCTAAGCTGGACCAGCTATATTTTATAAAAGCAGCGCTCAAATTAATGTTTTGCTTATGAATATCCCTGGGCATCCCAAGCATGTCATTGCTTTTGACATAGTGTGCTAGGATGACCTTGCTTTTATGTTCCTCCAAAATTTACACGTAGATGAGACAATTTGGAAAAAGTAAGGAGTTCGTCTTACTGAGAGCTTGATGGGAATTACGGAAAATACAAAGAGAAATGAGTGTATATCTCTTCTAGAGATGCATCTTTTTTTTTTTTTCTGGTGTTTCGAGACAGGGTTTCTCTATGTTACAGCCCTGTCTATGCTGGACTCACCTTGTAGATCAGGCTGGCTTTGAATTCAGAGATCCGCCTGCCTCTGACTCTGCCTTCTGCCTCCTGAGTCCTGGGATCAAAGGTGTGTATCACCATACCTTGCTAATGTACCCCTTTTCATCAGGTTTTTATTTTTTTATTTTTACTTACGTTTCAGGATTCCATACATATGAGTGGTTCTGTTTCTATGAATATTTGATATGTATGTATGTGCTTATCTAAATGAGATATTCGCAGATGGTGTCATTTGCCTATAAGTAATTCAGTAATTGAATTTTTATTCAATTTTTTTGAGATTATAAAATAATCGCATCATTTCCCTTTTCTTTCCTCCTTCTAAACCCTCCCTTACTTTCCTGCCTTCTTGCTTTCAAATTCATAACCTCAGGTTTCATTATTGTTGTTACATACATATTTGTGTATATATGTGTCTATGTATACATACACATATACATAAATGTGACCTGTTCAGTCTGCACAATGTTACTTTTGTGCATATGGTTTTAGGTCTGACCTTTTGATAGTGTATACCCAATTGGTATGCTCTTTCCTGCAGAAAACCATTTCCCCCACTCTCCACATTTCTTAGATGCTTGTAGATCTTTGCATAGGGTTGAGGCCTCCTAAGATTTCTGTATTTATATTACAATGTTTACTAGTGTGGTCCTTGTTCAGCTCATGTATAAGAACTCATGTTAATTAAATGTAAGAGTAACTTTTGTTTGCCTGATTTAATTGTCATCTCAGAGGCTTACAGCCTCCATCTATTAACCTAAGCCTAGATCTAGAAGCTTCTAGCCTCCTTACAGTGTAATCTATGCCTACAATGTTTTCAGCCTCTCAGATTCACTGCTGATAAGCTCACCATTTCTAGTTCTTTTGGAACTCTGGCTAGCTGGTTCAACTCAGCGGTTCTGGCTCAGGCTCCTCTCTCAGCTGACGTACTCAATCTGGCTTTTCTCCCAGCCTCTGAATTGCTCTGCTTGGCCTCAAACAAATTCCAGCAATCTATTCTAATTCTCTGGCTTCTTCTGTCTTTACCTGTGTCTAGCCTGTTACCTTTCCAACCTCTCTCTGTAAAACTGCCACCTCTCTCTCTTATTCTCTGTGCTGCTCCCTTAAGTAGCTACCCTTTCCTCTCCCCTCTCCTGAGAGTTGGAGGTATCCTATTCTGTCAAATCTTCTCTGGCTCATTACTTCCTTTTTCTGCTACTCAATTTGACATCACTTTCATACAAGGGTGCTTTACTTTCATTGTTTGGGATTAAAGGTGTATACCACCACCCCTAAACCTAAGCTTTTCTTTACCCCAAACTTGCTCTATACCAGGATGTCCTTAATCTCAGAGATCTGCTTGCCTCTGTATTCTGAGATTAAAGGTGTGTCCCACCACTTCCCAGTGTGTCTGCATTCCAGTCAGATCACATAGACCTATGTCCTTGGATGTGATCTCTTGCCAGAGCAGCCATGTTCTGAGTTAAAATTCAGAAGAAGCTCCTTAGGGAAGATGCTGAAATCTCATTCAGAAGGCAAATACAATAGATACTGGAAGCACTGAAGAGAGGGAACAGGACAGGAGCCTACCATAGATGTCCTCTGAAAGACTCTACAGACCAGGGATTGGAAGCAGATGCTGAGACTTGCAGCCAAACTTTGGGCAGAGGACAGGGAGGAGTGGGGTGACATAAGGACCTGGAAGGGACAGGAGCTCCACAAGGAGACCAACATAGCCAACAAATCTGGGCCCAGGAGGTAGGGGTGGGGCTTCAGAGTCTAATGCATCAACCAAGAACCATGCATAGAGCAGACTAAGACCCCCTGCTCAGATGTAGCAGAGAGGCAGCTCAGTCTCCATGTGAGTGCCCTAGTAAGGGGAGCAGGGACTGTTTCTGACATAGACTATGTTGCCTGTGCCCCATCACTTCCCCCTGATGGGGTAGTCTTGCTAGGCTGCAGAGGGAGAGGATACACTGAGTCCCAATGACACTTGATAGGCTGGAGTCAGTTGGTAGTGGAAGAGGGCTCCCCCTTTCTGAGGACTAGGAGAGGGGAATAGAGAGGAAGAGGGAGGGAGGGTGGGACCAGGATGAGATGAGGGAGGCACCTATGATCGGAGATGTAAAGTTAACAAGATTTTAAAAAATTAGATCAAAATAAATAAATAATAAAAAATAAGCTAAGGTGTGTTTCTTATAGATAACAGATAGATGGATTTTGGTTTTTGATCCATTCATCCAGCCTGTATCCTTTGCCTGGAGAACTAATACCATTAATTATTGAAAGTTATTTTTGAAATGTGTGTGCTAATTGAGATCATCATGTTGTTGATGTTGGGTATTATTGCTTGTGTTCTTAGTAGTACATTTGTGGTTTAGTAATTGTGGCTTCAGTTTCTTTCCATGGGCTCTCGGCTATGCTCATTTCTCTCTGCTATGCTCATTTCTCTCTTCAGCCCAAAATATTGATTCCTGTATTTACTTGAGGTTTTATTTGTTGGATATAAATTTTCTTTTAGTATATTTATGTCTGGAAATTTTTTTTCATCCTCCTTCAACTATGGAAGGTAGTTTTGCTAGGTATGTTAGTGTAGGTTGGTCATTCTGGTTTTTAGGACTTGTAAAGCAGTGTTCCAGGTTCCTCCGGCTTTCAGAGTTTATGCTGATGATGTTCCTTTATATGTAACTCCCGTTTTGTTTTCTTGTTTATTTGGTTGTTTGTTCGGTTTGTAGCAACTTGCAGTATTCTTTTTTTGTTTTGGTTTGGTTTTGGAGTTTTGGGGGTTTTGTTGTTGTTTTGTTTTTCGAGACAGATTTTTCTCTGTGTAGCCTCGACTGTTCTGAACTCACTGGCCTTGAACTCACAGAGATCCACTTGCCTCTGCCTCCCCGAGTGCTGGGATTACAGGCATATGCCAGCTTTCAATACTCTGCTCTTTCCATATACTTAGTGTTTTAACTGTGATATTCTCTAGGGGTATTGTTTTCTGGTTTTGTCTATTTGCAGTTCTGTGTACTTCGTGTGTGTGTGTGTGTGTGTGTGTGTGTGTGTGTGTGTGTGTGTGTG